CAACGTCCTAGTGAACCACATCAAACCCTTCCTGCTCCAATCTACTCTAATTACTAACCTAATATTCTGTTTAAACTTAACTTTAATATGATTAAAGACCTGGTGGTAAGCTAAGATGTGTGCGACATTAGCCACGCACACAGACGTACGGACCTGTTGGTGTACCGGGGCCTTTTTTTTTTTTTTTTTTTTTTTTTTTTTTTTTTTTTTTTTTTTTTTTTTTTTTTTTTTAAAGGCCTGTCCACAACCTCTATCCCAGTGGTCGTAAGAGAACTACCGTTATTGTGTGTTGGTGTAGGGTGCTATGTCCCATTTGCGACTGTGGCCGAGATCAACGGCTGAAATATCCTAATCGTAGTAATCCATGCAAATGGGACCTTGCCCCTGGTTGTGGACCTCTCTCTGTAACCCAACATTCTGAACGCATCTGGCACGGAAACGGCCCAGACTCCAGACCCATTCGGTGCACGTTGTGTTAGTGGACGGAGGCCCCACAAATCCAATATCTGCGGCCATCGGCGACATTGGGGTGTTCTTTTTTTTTTTTTTTTTTTTTTTTGTAGTGCGAGGATCTGGGTCCTCGGCAGGTCTAAGGGGCCCCTGCTGCAAATGTGCCCGCCCTAAGTGAAGGCGGGCCTAACAAATCACGAGAGGCCCTCGGCTGTCAATTTCGTATTTGGGGTCCAGGCAGATTAGTCCCTCCAGTTGGTTGAAGGAAACTTAGACCGAGCAGCGAGGAAAAATCCCAGGCCTTCCAGGCCTTTCCAAAATGGTGCAGGCCCTGGACGAGAATCGCAGCCTCATACACAGTTGGGAGACCCAACCAAATGAGGCCCAGTAGCTGCAAGAGAGGCGCAGCAACCTGGGGCCTACCGGAAGCTTCTGGGCCCAGGCCAGTCCAGCCAGGCTGCCGAATGAGGCAGGCTCTTTCCATATAGGAAAGAGCTCGCTGCCTGGCCGGGGATTGGGGCCACTCGCATGCTGGCGCTGCTGGAGCTGAAGTTCGTGGGCTGCTGCTAGGCGAGGTGCAAGCACGTGCAGTCGTGCAAGGAGGAGGGCGCTGCTGAGGGCAGCGCCATAGCCCAGCCACCATAGCTGGTGGGCTTGGATGTACAGTGAGGCGCAGGGGTGGTCTTCGGATGTACAAAAGGGAAGACGTGGAAGAGAGACAAGGGAGAGAGAGAAGGATGATGATGATGATGATGATGTGAGGGCACATACCTGGTATTGGCGATGGTCTGCATCGGCGACATCTTCAAGTACTTCGGAGGCTGCTGACGTCAACAGTTGCATTGTCAATTAGTAGGCTAGTAGTAGCTGTGTAGGGAGTAGGCTGGGCGCCGAGCACCAAGTAGGGAGATAGGGACTGGATACATATGTTGGTGGTGGCAAGAGCAAGCTCTCATTGACATTGGTTTTTCAGTGCTACGATTCTCCATCGGTGTCATATTGGTGCAATGCTGCTTTCTGAACACTGTGATACGATCTGGCTTTCAATGTGAGTGTGCAATCTGAATATTGGCATCTCGCTATTGCTCATTTTCCTTGCAATTTGGTATCGGAGCTGGTTCGAACTGCGCTCATTGGTTCTTCGCAAAAGTTGTTCGGTGCTCATGAGGTGTGGGGCAGTGATAAGGCTTGGGCGTTGAATGTAAGGCGACCCAGGGTCGTGTGGGCGTGCCAGGAAGCTATGTGGTGACATTAACGGTGTACGCTGGATGATGAGAGCTGGCTGATGTGGCATTTAAGCCGAGGTGGAACTCTGTGTAACCGTATGAACGCCGTGAACGTGCGTTCACGTTCAAACGCGCGCTGTGACGCCCAACCTCACGCCCAGTGCGACTTCCTGATCGGAGTGGAGTGTGGGCCTGGAAGTGCGAAAAGGGGTGTGCCAAGGATTTTTGGGGGAAGTGGGGGAGTCTTAAGGATATGAATGCAATTAGGCGAGCGAGGGGTGCGTACGCAAGGGTCTCACAGTCCCAAGGGACCGGGACACTGTGGACGACGGGTTACGGGAAAATTCCTCTGTGGTGGAGGTGGTCCCGGAAAGTTAGGCCGTCGGGGGCCGCCACGTGGCGCAGACCGCCGCGCATTTGGGTTGGGCCTTCGAAATTCCGGAGTGCTCGGCGCGCCGCTGCGTCGGCAGTTCACGCAAAACGTATTGGGCGATACCCCTGTCACACGGAGAATCGGCTATGTCCGCGGGAATTCCAGTGTGCCACCACTAGCGACCCTCGGTGCTCCGATTTTCCTTCCCCCGACCACACCTACTACTTCACCCACCCAGGATTCATTGAGATCACCACCAGTTTCCCTCCTTTCCGCCTCCTTCTCCCGTATCAAGTGTCGTTCCGTGGCCGGCCATAGCCCCCTAGTCCTTATGAGCTCGTTTATTATAGGGGTGAAATAGTCCGGGTCATAGGATGAGTCTGAGCCCCAAGATCGCGTCATGGTGTCATCGTCGGTGGGATAGCGCGGGTCGGAATATCATCACCGCGCATGAGCACGTGTCGGATGGGCAAACTTAGTTGCGCCTCGGCGTGCCCGTGCGGGATGGTGGTTCCGCCGCGAGTCCTGTCTGGGCG